ATGTGGTACAGTTCAATTTATATTACAATGAATCATTCATACATAAAGTAGATTAATAAAGTTAATGATATAAAATAGCGAAATCCCTTCGCAAAATTTTAAAGGTGCATTAACAAATCATTGAATGAATATTATGATCCTTGTTTTTAAAAATCATAAGCTGTATAAGGTCTTTTTTTAATACGCAAGTACTTTCAACTCTACATTCAGTCATTTTCAGGCATGGAAATTATTTTGTTTTTGGTAAAATTCAAGTAGCATCCAAGACGAAACAAATACAAAAAAATAAATAAATAAAAACAAAATTCTCAAATTGCCATATTAGTAAAAAAAAACGCACTCTCTTAAATTAAAAAAAAAAAATGAATCTTAGCGTTGCGACTGCACGCTCCAAAAGTTTGTATCCATTAACAGTAACACATTTCAAAGAAAACATATTTCGATGCGCATTTAATTTTTTCGTCTCTGATGCTACCTGAATTTTACCAAAAACAATATAATTTCCATGCCTGAAGATGACTGAATATAGAGTTGAAAGTACTTGCGTTTTAAAGACCTTATATAGATTATAATTTTTAAAAACAAGGATCATAACATTCATCGAGGGATTTGTAGGTTAATTCACCTTTAAAATTTTGTTTGCGAAGGGATTTCGCCATTTTATATCATTAACTTTACTAATCTACTTTTGTATGAATGATTTATTGTAATATATATATATATATATATATATATATATATATATATATAGATAGATAGATAGATAGATAGATGATAGATAACTAGACTCGTTTCGAAAAACCCTCGAATTTTGATTTGCTAATCAAATCAATCTCGAGGGAAAAAAAAGGTTTTAAAAAAAAGAAAGAACTACAAACATGAACTTCTGCCGAAAAAAAAATCGCACAGATGCAGGTCTGAAGCCCAAAGAAAAAAAAACCCCGATACGAGTAACAACTAACTAACAAAAGAGCTCAATACAACCGTAGAGCAGACCTAGATACATTTAGTGAGCCAGAAAAAACCTACCTAGGTTTCACATAAACGGATCGTCAGGGGAAAGTTTGGCTAACTTTCCCTGACGATCCGTTTAGGTGAAACCTAGGTAGGTTTGTCTGGCTCACTAGGTCTGTCTGTCTATCTATCTATCTATCTATCTATCTATATATATAAAAAGATATTTTTGTAGGTACAAAATTTTATGATCGAAATAAAAGTATAAAATTTAATATTACAAGACATATTAAAAAAAAAAGAAAAAAAAAACAACAACAAGGGGAAGCAACCGGTTTCGCTCCCGCTCTTCAGGCTTCAACGGGAGATTCAAAATTAATACAGAAAATGTACAATAAGGGAATTAGGGAATATATATATATATATATATATATATATATATATATATATATATATATATATATATATATATATATATATATGCAGAAGGAACTAGAGACAGATGACAGCGAGTCCCAACAAATACTCACGTTGTTTGCACAAAGAAGGCTTGGGACCCGATGTAAAGTGCCTCCAGAACCCTCAAATGAAATAAAGAGTGAGACCGAGCCAACACGGTGAACCAGTCAACACTATATATATATATATATATATATATATATATATATATATATTGAATTAATCATTTTTGTAACAAAGGAGATTATGTTGAAAAATAAATATTTCTCTAAAAATTATTCTCTGTTCTTTAATCAATTGACGACTGATTTATCGATTTACATGTATATTATGAAGTGCCAAAATTCGATTCATAATAAACATTTGACCACGCTTCCTTACTTTTAGAATTAGTCTAAATCAAATATGAACATGCAATAGCTAACGAATAAACATAGTTTAGGTAATGTACACGTGGTAGTCATGTGATTAGTGTTTAATACCATTTTCCTAAGAAGGACTGTTTGGTACTGAAAAATGGTGTTAGTTATTATAGGTCTTTCTCGGGTAACATTAGCAAATTTAAATCAGGAGCGTCTGAGATCTGGATAGATATCAGCAGTGTGCGATGCAACAACGGGCCTACCGGTAATTAGTCAACGAAAGCGAACGTCACATGAAATACCCTCCCGTTTCGATGTTGCATTCGCTACAGGCACCATTCAACACACTGTACAACATCTACTGCATTTCTAGGGTTGCTCAAACCCAACAAAAATAAGACCATTTGTTCTTTAGTTAAAACTACATAACATACACAGGAAAACGTATAAAAAAACATGAATGTATAAATTAATGACAAATATCTGTAATGCTCTACTTATTTTTTTCAACTATTATCAGTCAGTTATGTGCCATGGGTGATACACGCTTAAGCGATCATGTATCTTTCGATACATGACTGAAGAGGCAGATTTTTTCCCGCAGTACGTTCCTTTCTTTTTGCGGTATCCAAGGCTATAGAAGCCGGTCTGTCCTCCTATTTATCCATAGCTTTGGAGAGAAGAGGATTTATACCTTTCATAAGGGTATCAGCAAATAAGTGAATGTAATGGATTCGACTCGAATTCGAACTCGGCTCTTTGTTTCCTCTATTCGAGCCGCTCTTCATTACTCCACCGTGCCTCCAAAACAGGCGCGCTTCAAAACGGTGTTCTCTACGTAATAAAACACTTTAAATATATTCTGAACAAACAGAATTTTTGAGTCGTCATATATTTGTTGGTAGTGTAGTAGGAGTTTATGTTCGTTTTTGAAAATGTGCCCTGGTCTTTTGATTAGGATGATAAACAATGGGAAACAATATAAATTCCTTAATATAAGATCTTCAATTTCATTCCTTTAAAAATCCACCCATAAATGGCCTGAATATTTTGGATTGCATAAACAGGATCATTACTATTCTAAAATTTATTAGATTTAGGTTATCGCTAATGATTGTAGGTAGCAAAGTAGGAATTTGTTTTTGCGTTTACATTTGAAAATCATCGGTAGATTAAAGGAATTAATATAAACGCCTATAGAATAGATCAGTTCACACTGTCTATTTCTGCAGTGCTCTATCATAAATATTGAATTATTAAATTCGTAGACCATTTCATGTGCTCTGTGGGCAAGTCCATCTTTAACAGCGTCAAGTTAATAAATTATTTGAATCGAACTGTGATGACGCAACTTACCTGTTTATAACTCTAACCAAACGAAGACGTACTAACAGGTATTGTTATCATTTAGACATTTTAAAACTGCTAAATATAATTCAGAATATCGCTGTTTGATATGAAACATGCCTCATAGGATGACTTGTCTATGTATTTATAGTTGAAAGAAAAATAACGCAACGTGTACTTATTTGTAGATAGAGTGCGTCTAAGTCAACTAAGTTTTAAGGATTCTCTCTTGAAGTACTGGATATGACGATAAACTACAAGGCCTCTGATTGGAAGACTAAAGGTCCTGAAGAGCGAGGAATCACCTCTTTATTCTGTTGTTCCCAAGTTCACCTTGACCTGGAGTGGTAGCACCTGTTAGGGTCCCAGCTATGGGAAAATAGTTAACCCGTAAACTGGGGTAAAAACACTATGAAAGTATAAAAATAAAATGAAATAGATTTTTATAGTAAAAATACCAGCAATACATCTTTTGACTCTCGACAAAAAATACGTCAATGAAACCTGATCTGCGATCTGGATTCTTACAAAAAAAACAAAAAAAAAAATTCTATTCATACGAACCTATCCTAAAATCTTGCCATTAAATAAACCATTGAGGTTGATATGCCGTAAAACAAAATAAACCAACCATCAATACATTTTTAAAGCAGGATTACCAACAATAAATTTTATAGCAAAATAACACACAATACATTTTATCTGTTGTTGACGACATACAATTGCGTTCAAAATATTTAGATTTCGCCTTTAAATAACCCATAGAGGTGTTGATATGCCACTAAACAAAATCAACCGACCAAAACCACCAACATGAAAGAACTTTTTTGTTGATATTAAGCCATATAATATCCTACAATTTCTTTATAAAGTCAAACGGTATTCCAAAATATAACTTCAACAAAGCATCAGCTTAAAAGCACATTTAACCGCCTTTTGTAATTATGTTCATGTATATGCACAACAGCTATGCATTTAATTGCGAAGGCAGAATAACATATATGTCTATCACTCCCAAACTCCCAAGAAAATTACATTTAGGCATTAAATGGCTCATAAGATGTTGATATGCCGTTCAACAAATCAATCAATCATTCTATCTGGAAAAAATGGCTGATTATCACAGACGAGACCGTTGATAAATTTACATAGGAATTGCAGCGTTTCCTTATTAGTGAATCACAGCAAGTCTATGGTTACTACAATGAGTATATAAGGCATACGTTTTGACAAAATCATAGATAGAGGAGTTACTAGTTTGCCGTTGGATATGAAGCCCCTTTTGTCAGTGTAGTGTTAAATATGTAGTGTGATTTTTTTCTCTATGTCATTTTCTCTTCTCCCCTACTTTTCCCAATTCTTGTTCATTCACATATACTAAAAAAGATAAAGAAGCCACTTTGTGCAGCATATCTCAAGCCATACACTGTTCACTATGTATTGATAAAATGTGATGACCTGATCCTAAACCTTAAAAACGTTTCGAAAATAGTGCGTCCGTCCATATGCAATGGCAACGACATTTAGAGGTAAAAGGGTAGTGTTGGAGTCAATAAGAAAGGAAATCAAAACTTCATTAACACCTTCAAGACCAAACTTGCAACGAATCTTGTTGGCGAAGTACAAATCAACGAGATAAGCGACACCCGGTTAAGGTGAGTCAGGTGCAACTAGTTTTCTCGATATGATTCTCTCTTGACAAATGTGGCTGATTAGTACAGGTGACACCGTTGATAAATTTGCATGTCAATTGTTGTAGTGACTTATCTGCATAGGGATGGCATCACTTGCCTATTGACTGTTGGATCTGTGGTTACTACAGTGAATATACATTGTACGCGTCTTTGAGAAGACTACAGAGGCATCATTGGTGTACCAATGTCAGTGAACGCTCTTTGTCAGGGCAATTTGAAATCGAGGCTTTCTTTCATCTCCATCTCTTTATTTTCACTTTTCTTCCTTTTTTCCCTCTGCCTTTCTTTTTCCAAACCTTCTTTCAACCCTCCTTTTATTTTCCCAAATCTCGTTCTATCCTATATAAAAAATAAAATAGACACTGCCTGTCTCAAGGCATATCTTGTTAAAATATGCATAGAAATGGCGTCGCTTGCTTATTGACTAGTCATAGCGAATCTATGGATACTTCATGGAGTATATAAGACACACGTTTTGGGAAAGCCAAATGGGCGTTAAGGTAGAAACAACTCTTTGTCGATGCGATGAAATCACTTGTCGGTGCAAAACACTTGTCGATATGGTGCGAGACATTTTTCGATGTGGTATGAAACCTCAATCGGGTGATTGTAACTCATAATATACCGAGTGTAACAGCAAACTTGTTCAATCGTGTAACATCGTAATTATCAATACCACAAAATGTTTACTATCTAAAAATAAAAATAAAAAAAAAATTCACTAAACTAATTGAGTTTCTTTTTTCAGCTATTCAGATAAGACGTTTAGCTATCTTGTCACAATTTGTCGTAAGACAGCTCTTTGAGTTCAACTCGTAAGAGAACAGGTTAAAATCGTATTGTGTCAGCCCCACTATATCTTCCAAAATGAGCAATGGTGAGAGGAATAAATTATTCAGGCCTTCAGTAACGGTACCAACGTTTATACTCTGACTTCCATCTTCAAAATCCATTCAAGAACCATCAAGAGAAAGATGAATATGCTTTCAAGAGGGAACAGTATAGAGGAAAACTGGATAAGGAAGTCACAACAGCAAGAGGAATCATCATTTCAACTTAGAGCTAAATACATTCTTATTGTTCAAAATAGAGTCCAATAGTATTATAAAAACCTCAGAGAATTCCAGTAATATATATTTAATCATTTCTAAGATTCGACGGTTCAAAACTTAATCTAAAATTGGAAAATGTTTGTGTTACACGATTTGGACAATTTTTCCTTACTAACATGAATGAATTGATCCATTAATGATAAGTAGTCCTGGGTAATTGTCTGGGAGGAAGATATTATTGCATGATTTGTCTACCTGAATACTACTATCATGACTGACTCTGTCGAGTTAAGTATTGAGTTTTGCCAGAATCCACACCACATCGTAAGCCTTAGTAGGTCTAGCAAAATGACACAGTATTGAGAAGCATCCTCCCTGCTCAACCAATTGTTATAGACTTTAACTTTTTAGATATCTGTCTATGGAAGACACCGTTAAAATATCCAGTACAGCATCATTTAGACAGATTTACATTATCAGCTATTAGTTATGTTAATGCACTTATCATAACCTACGGTTATTGCCTCTTTTTCCTACCGTATTTATTTCGTTCCCATTCACCCCATCAAATGGTTTAACACAGTTCAATAATTTTCATTTAGTAGCTAAGGATTCAGGATTCGAGCCTCGGGTGATTCTGGGCAAATGCGTGCGAGTATTTATGTACACCGTGATGCAAGTGAAACATATTTGATAATGTCACCGCTAAAAGGAATATATTTGAATTTCAGACAACGGAGATGCACTCACATACGTTCAAACAAAACATCAAAATCTACGCATGCGCTACTTGTCTCTGCTGCTACTAATACTACTTCTGCTACTACTAAAAAGTAATCCGATTCCAGAGGGCACTGAATGGAGTACATTTCAGCTTTTTATTTATTTTTGTGTGTGTGCTTTATTTTCGGTATGAAAATATTTTGGACAATGCATCACGCTTCATAGTTGTATGCAAAGGAACCACACTGCATTATATCGACGCCTGTTAGTCAACTAACTTCATATAAATCTAACCTAAATTTGTTGTGGATATTTGTCGTTTAGACTTATGACTGGGCAGAAGCATGATATGCCTTCAATTTAGAAAAGTGGAATTTAGCAACAGAAGTCGTATTTATTTAATGCTCCCGCCTTCTCTTTCTGTCTCTCCTCTCTGCCTGTCTGTATGTGTGTCTAACTCTCTCTCTTTATCTATCTATATATATATATCATTATTTTTTAGAAATGATTCCATTGCTACAAAGAAATTACTGTTTCATCAATCCAACAGTTCTTTCCTATTATAACAATACACACACACACACACATATATATACAGTATTTACATTAGTCGGACTATTGTCCTCATCTTTGTCGCCATATTTGTCACAACGTTTCGGCCGTTGTACGCTCCGGCCTTCTTCAGGTGGTTGGAATTTCGAACTGAACCCTTTATTTCGATCGCTGGGGTAGACTGTTCTAATTCCACGTGCCATGTTTGATGGATGTCAGTTATCAGTTATCTCCTGCTAATTTTCCCTCTGAAAGTTCTCCACTGCCTTAACCAGGAATTAAACTCACCTTCTTTGGGTCTGTCACTGGATCTAACCAACGCCTTTATCCACTGTGCCATGTGTCCTTGAGGACATCTGGGTATGAACTTCTGAGTATTATAAACCTAATGTTTTCAGCATCATTTTTACCAGTGCTCATATTGCAATTTTTGCTGTTATCATTGCATGTATTTACCAGAGTTCATATTGCAACTTTATTATCATTGCTTTTCTCTGGCTCTCCTTATTACTGGTTCCCATATTGTATTTATTTCTATGCTTGGTCGGCTCAGGAGATTTTTGTGGCCTAGCATATGTGCTGATTCCTTAAGTTTACGAATTTTCCAATGGTGTTCCCTGTCCATGATCTCAACATGATCCCACAGGGGGCGATGATCTCCCTTCTCTCTCCATATGTGGTCAGCCAGATGTCCTCAAGGATACATGGCACAGTGGATAAAGCTGTTGGTTAGATCCAGTGACAGACCCAAAGAAGGTGAGTTCAATTCCTGGTTAAGGCAGTGGAGAACTTTCAGAGGGAAAATTAGCAGGAGATAACTGATAACTGACATCCATCAAACATGGCACGTGGAATTAGAACAGTCTACCCCAGCGATCGAAATAAAGGGTTCAGTTCGAAATTCCAACCACCTGAAGAAGGCCGGAGCGTACAACGGCCGAAACGTTGTGACAAATATGGCGACAAAGATGAGGACAATAGTCCGACTAATGTAAATACTGTACATAATACCTCATCTCAGAAATATAGACAAACACACACACACACACACACACACACACACACACACATATATATATATATATATATATTATAATAAAGAGAAAGAACAGTAAGATATATAATCCGGTGTTCTTATTAATATTCTTATTTTTACAAAACAGTGCCTAATGCAAATCTACAGAGGATAAATATTATAAATTTACTTATTTAATTTAATTCTCTAATTGAATTTGAAGATTTTAGCTTCTGTTTTTGAAACATGGTAATTCCTTTGTAGCGATTGAACCATATTCTTAAATAAATAAATAAATATATATATATATATATATATATAGATCTTTACTTTTCACGTGAAAAGAAGGTATATCTAGTTTCTTTCCGTCTTGCTCTTTTTCTTTTTCTTTCTTTTTCTTTTTTTTATGTAATATCCTAAAATAAAAGATATATATATATTAAACTACTAGTAATAGTCGGTTGGAAAAAAACCTCGGATAGCACAAATTGTAAGTCTATCAAAATAAATTGGTACCAGAGGTAAACAATGGAAAAACAAAGAAAGAACTAGAAACATCCTAACAGGGTGGAATAAATCGTCCAATACCTTAAGTTTCTAGTCCAAAAAAAAAAAACATTGAGTAATAAAGCTGAGATGTAGAGTGCTCAATACGGTAAGTAGAGCAGGGATAAATGAAATAAATCCTAAAGACCCAGGAACAACCTACCTAGGTTTCACCTAAATAGATCTTCAGGGTAAGCTTGTCCTGAAGATCCGTTTAGGTGAAACCTAGGTAGGCTGTTCCTGGTTCCTAGAATTTATTTCATTCATATATATATATATATATATATATATATATATATATATATATATATATATGCGTGTTAAATTACTATGTATAATAGATAGAGTTCTAGGTACAGTACATATATGTGTGTGTAGGTGAGTGTTAAATTACTCGATATGAACATAACAGATATGTGTACATATGTGTTATTATTACTTTCCGTATTTATGAGGTGATACTTTATTTCCTTATAAATATGTTTGTGTTTGTGTGTAGACATATTCACCGGCATAATCACCTGACAAGTATATGCTTACTGCATTTATAAATATGTATGTATATTTTTATGTAACCATCTACTACTTATGTCTGCTACCTCTAGTAAAACAATGCGTTAATTGTATAACTAAATGTTGATATGGCATTATGTATTATTTGGTCAATTCAGTGTATGCACATATATATGTCCCCATCAATCCTTGTGTGCGTGAATATATATGTCTTTTGTGTGCATATCTTTTCTGTGTACGTGTGGTCGAGCAATTAAATGCGGGAACGCACGAAAATATAACATTTTTGGATGTGACAATCATCGAAAAGGTTTCCAAGATGCCATGTCTTGGCCAACTGCAATGAATTAAGTATTTGATGAGAGGAATTCTTACTTTAAATTGATTCCAAAAATACTTCTTTCTCTTTAGCAATAGCTTTCTAATTAACGCCTTTTCATAATTTTCTCATGATGTCACTTTGCTCATTTCGATGAGATCGATTCAAAGGCTTTTATTCAAAACGAATCGGTTTTATTTTTCGCTTGAGGTCAACGGTGTTGTTAAATGAAATTATGACGAAGAGCTTTTATCCCATGTTGAAATTTAGCACCAAATATTCACAAGGTGTCAAATACACAATATATATATATATATATATATATATATATATATATATATATATATATATATATATATATATATAAATATGTGTGTGTGTGATTTGCACAGACACATTCCTATCTATCTATCTATCTATCTATCTATCTATCTATCTATCTATCTATCTATCTAACGCGAAGTTCTTCAGTAAAATGAATTGAGCACTCCGGTTGATTGACATTTGTTTACATTTGTAAAAACAATACGCAGTACTGTCTGAAAATTATATATATATATATATATATATATATATATATATATATAGAGAGAGAGAGAGAGAGATAGATAGATAGATAGATAGATAGATAGATAGATAGATATAGAGAGAGATATGTAGCCGCTGTTTGTTATTGAACTCTTCGCAAGGTTCTGGAGATTAGACCCATAACCACATATATATTCTACAACTACATTAACCAGGGTACTTGGAGAAGCATATTTCATTTAGATTTAAGGAGATCCCTTGGGGTTACCCCCTTTGATTTAAATTATATTTAAATTTGAACACGGGAATGATTCTTTACTTGGATAAATTTTGATCAAAGGGGGCCTCGCGGGGGACACTCCCCAATGACTTTTTTCCCCTTTTGATTTAATTTAAATTTAAATTAGGGATTGCTTCCTATCCAAAATGTAGAAGGAGAAAGTCAGAAGATGGAGGTCATATCGGCAAGATCAAAAAGAGACAATATGGACGTGAAATTGAGCAAGAAATCACCAACCATTGGTTAGTGTCTAACAATACATATTTGTTGCGACAATTCAACTGCCATATTAATGTTGAAATCTGCCCATCAATTCCTTCAATGAAGTATTGCATGACATATATCAGAAAAAGGTCAGATCAAGCTGTTTTTTTTCACAAACCCCCACCACTGAATATTTTTTCTTTTTGATTTAAATTAAATTTAAATTTGAACAAGAGAATGAATCCTATCCAAAATATTGGAGAAAGTCTGAAGATGGAGATCACATATATATATATATATATATATATATACATATATATATATATATATATATATATATATATAGATGAAGTGGCACATACATATGTGCACACACAAGCACACACACATGTATAAGCAAACACAAGAGCCTAAATATATATGTACACACACATGCATATATATATATGCACACACAGACAAATACCAATATATACACATATATATAATCAGGCACATACGCATATATGCGTACACAGATATATATATCTACATATGCACGCACATACAAAAATATATATGCACTAATATATTTAAATGTACTCACACGTACACACGTATATATCCGCATATATAAATACACACACGCAGACCAAACATTCATACATATGAACACGCACCCATATATATGCAAGCATATATATATATATATATATATATATATATATATATATATATATATTTATGGACTCACATATCAGAAGCGTAATAGCGGCGTGTCAGTCGAGTCAGATACGTCGAGTTAACTGTTTGTATGTATGAGAAGCTGAGGACGCCTGTAAGCTAATTTTATTCTCAACTCTCACTGATGTCTGGCTATAATTGTACTACATACAAACACTTCTATCTCACCTGACTTCATAAGGATATTATTTAGTAAAAAGACATCATTATTACTCTTATTATTATCGATACTCTAAAAGTAACTCCAGATCCATAACACTGTCAATCCTAAAACTATCCTTTCCCTGATTGGCCATATATTCAGGGGTGTAGCCGGACTCACTACGCTTGGACAATTGTAGATTGGTGAGGCTAGATTCTCCATAGATGGAAGTTTCGAATTCAAAATTCTTCTAGACCGGTTGCCAACCAAGGCTATATGATCTAGTATGTTCTACTATTTCTTCATAGCTCGGAGAAGGAAAGTTGGATTCATACATTTCACACGGTAACTAAATGTGACGAACTCGACTGGAATTTGAACTCGGTTCTCTCATTCTAAAATCCGTGTCACTATTCCTTAATCCAGTGGAATCCGCAAATTAATTATCCTAACAAAATACCACGGACGTTCTCTTGTGATTTCTTTATTTATCTTCAGTAGTACTGCTTGCTTGCTTGCTTTTTATATACAGTGGAATTTTATGCTACAGCTACATTACAAACATTAGAACAGCGTATAGTTACTTCCCTGTGTCTTTTCTATATATATATTCTCATGGTAATTCTTTTGATTAGCTTTCCTCTTTGGTATCTAGACTTAGGTAGGTTTTATACAATAGTTTCTTCTGACACATTTCTCGTTTGTGGAACGCTCTTCTAGGATCTTGCTCTCCAGTAAACTTTGATCTTCAGAAATATAAATTCATTATCAATATCAAGGTTCTTGTTCTTTTATTGTTCTTTCTCCTTAATAAAGTTTTCTTTTTCTAAGATTTTTTTCATTTTCATTAAATCCTTGCATCTTAGTGGTTTTATTACCTAACTTGGGGTGAAATGATTAAAAAGAAATTTAGAAATGTACCATATCCCGTCCATCGAAGTACCGCTTGGGAACACCTGGTACTGTAAGCCCCCAAAGTCCAACCCTTACCTCACAGTCGGTGGGGGGGTGTAAACGGTAGTGTCAGAGCTATGCCGCCCGGAACTTCGTTCCTGGTAGGGCCACCCAAGGCGGACAGGTCTGACACACACGCCGGCTAACAAGGGCTCTGGTGAAAATCCAAGGAGCGTCTGCATCGGCAACCGGCGGCTTCTGGTCGTTCCTGTCTCTGCGTCTGTGGGAACCCCGCGGCAAGCAAGAACGTTATCCGAGTAGGCCTGGGTACCCTACTTCTGTAATTTATCCCAAGAATCTTCTTCTCATAACAGGAAGAAGCCGGCTCAATCCGCCCAGGGTGAATGCCGCATCAGTACAGTACAGTAGTATATCCCGTCCGAACTGCTAGGATTAGAGTAGCGGGTGTTCCCACTGACTCTCCAGTGATAACGTGTAAGTAAGGTTGCGCAACATGCCATTGTGTTTAGATACTAAAATCACATTACTTTTGGCACGCAGTTTAAATATGTTGATATATTGTCGGGTTTCAAATATATATGAATCTAATTCAGAGGGAGAATATTTAACTAATATCATTTTAGAGTCTTATGTATATTTATAGAATTCTTTATAAGAAACTACTTTAGTTAAATGTAGTTTTTTTTGTTCATATAAAACAACGATGTGTACGCGCACGCCTGTCTGATAATACAGGTAGTGTTGTCCAATGTACGCAAATACATCATTAACCAACATTTATTAGAAATAATCATGTCTCCGAGCTTGCTCGTTTGTAAAAAGGTACTTCATCAGCTCGTGTACGTTACCAGGAATCCATTGAAAATGCTTCATAGACAGAGCGTATATCAAAAGTTTGGTTACTGATTTCGCAATTTGTCAATGCAGCCAGGGAGATCACCATATTATTTTACGCATGCGCATGTATATATGCAGATGATAGATCGGTGTATTATTTTGTCCAGCAAACTCTTTCATTTTTGCAAGGAATATATTTATTTTTAATAAGACTTCATGCAGAGGAAATAAAAACTGAGAACAGACTTGAAGACGACGCTCTGCCCACACTTAAAATCCGTTCCTTTTATTTTCGCCAAGATTTGTCGGCCGCCATAGCTAGTTCAGTTTTTATAGGTCTCTTCAGACCTGGTCCCACCTGAGCAACTTGAAACGAATTGGGTTTTTTACACCGCACCCCACTCCAGAACCAATAACTAACCCTTAAAACGAACTAATTACAAATTAAGCTACCAAGAAATATGAATAGAGATGTATTAGTACCACGCGAGTATCTCAGATTTACAAGTACGCTCACTGTAATATGCAAAATAGAGGAGAATAAATTTAACGAACAAATGGATCTGCAAAATGGTACGTTTGAGAAGTCCTCTTATTCACTTCCTTCTCGCTATCTCAGTCAATCAGTTGGCAAAATTTCCCTACTGGGGACAATAAAAGTAGGTAATACGGAGCATAGGCGTCGTATTTATTGTTACAAGGAAACATTTCTCCTTGTGAAAAGACAGTAGATTTGACTTTCAGTAGAAACCAGCGACAGTGAGAATTTGGTGTCTTGGGCTAAAGACAACTGTGGAGATTAAGGCATTGATAGAACCAAGACAGCCTATTATGGAACAACGACTGTAGATTCAAAATATCAGTTCGACCTCATATAATGTGATAATGTCATAATACGGAAACATAATCTCCGCTAAGAAAGTGGTAAAACGATAATGATGGTTAGTTTTTAGATGGGGACAAACAGTAACCAAAAAACAGCGGAGATGTGCAACAATCTGAACCACCAAGTCTAGAAACAGACTTAATTTGATTGTTTAATCTAAAGAGCAACATGATTAACATAAGTAACATTATCAGTTCTGTACGACAAAGGCAACAGTGGCCAATGTTCTAGTACAGTTGAAGGTAAGAATTTTGAAAGTGTATTTTGAATGTAGGCAGACACTTCCAAATTCTAATGCAAAAATATCTTTTCTTCAGATCATATGTTGCTTCCCTTCAGAGCGGTAGCGATCATGACCCTCCACAATTTCCTGTCCTTTGTAGCTCTTAATACATTTTTGTTATCTTTCCTTAACCTGGTTCCACCAACCATTTGCTGAAACTGGCGAGGGAGATTATTCGCTGTTTTCCTCTGTCCGTTTTGTCATGAATCTGTCTAGTGAGTATCAAATTTTCCATGTCCGCTTTTCTCATTGTGTACCTAGGTACATAAAGGTATTTATTTGGTTGGTTAGTATTTAGCGTCGTATCATGTTCTGTGTTATTTAGTGAGTTCAGTCCTTACTAGTTGCTCACTACTTGTAGTTTTATTAAACCTAATACGTAAAGAGACGGTAGACGAGAATTTTTTTATTCGATTAAACTGTTGTAACACATCTTAAAATCACTTGAATAAGGCCGGAATGTAGAACGGTCGAAACATCGTGAATATGTTAAGGAAGATCAGGACAATAGTCCGAGCAATGAAAATAGAGAAAACAAAACATAGAACTTAGATTTATGATTTTTCTTTTTTAAATTTACCACATAAAATAAAAGATGAAAAAAAAGAAACAAAAAGGAAAAAATGATAAAAAAGAAAAAAGGAAAAAAAAGAGAAAAAAGATAAAAAAGAGAAAAAAAGGAAAAAAGAGAAAAAAGGAAAAAAAAGAAAAAAAAGGAAAAAAAGAGAAAAAAGAAAAAAAAGAAAAAAAAAAGAGAAAAAAAAAGGAAAAAAAAAAGAGAGAAAAAGAAAAGTGCAGTACATTTTATTTGGCTACCAAACAGTGATTTGCGCCCGTTTTTAATAAGTTGTATTTGAAAAATCTTTAGATAAAAGCAAAACTTGTGATAAGCTACTTATCATTCGCTTGGGTTTCTGAAAACTCGAAGCCTTTTAAATCAATTTCATACTTGAAGAATTCTAACCCAGAATCATAGGTTTGTTGTGGTAGTTTTGATTGATCGTAGCTCTCAGCTGTAGACGACAAAGAGAGAGAAGAGTCCTTTGTGCCAATTTATACAAGGAAACACCTATAAATTAAGGCACGCGGGGCATACACACATACACTCACGCACACGCACACACACACACACACACACACACACATATATATATAGGTATACATATTAGCATACACACACACACATATATAATATATAGGTATACATATTATCATACACACACACACACACACACACACACATATATATATATATATATATATATATATATATATATATATATATATATATATATATAACGCGTGTGTATGTCCTTATTAGTAAGCATGAATGTATTTACTAGTATATAAATGTGAATGTCTATTTAAATAGGTTCAGGAGCTGATATGAATATAAATATATTTTCCTACGATTGAACTGGAAAGTTTTTATTTTGATAAGCAACAGTGTCAGTTCTTTCTTTCTTTCTTTCTTTCTTTCTTTTTTTCTTTCTTTCTTTCTTTCTTTTACCTCTCATCTTTCCACATATCTTTTCTTTTCTTTTCTTCGTTGTTTCATCCTTTCCCATCTTTCTTTGTTTCACCCCTTCCTTTCTTTCTTTCTTTCTTTCTTTCTTTCTTTCTTTCTTTCTTTCTTTCTTTCTTCGTATCTATCATTGCCAACATGCCTTATAAATTCCCCAGATGATGACTTGAATTATTTTGAATTGGTTTGCCTCTTTTCAATAACAAAATATATTGCGACTAACAGAAACTGAAATATTTGATGCTTTCATTCTGCTCGTATTAAATCGTATCTTCACTAGGGCAAGGCTTTCTACATATAGTTGATGTTTTAAAGAGGTTTGTGTCAAGATTTATCAGTTCCATAGGCTTTGAAGTAAGCACTAGGGAGTGATATTAAACATACGTGTCTCAACTCATGGGGAGGTGCCGCCTGACAGATGGTATCCCAGCAACTAGGCTTTAGTATAATTTTTCTAGTGGCAAAACAGAGATCAAACTAATCAAAAGAAATAGATGGCCCCATTCTGAGGAAATGGTATGTCTTTCGCCACGACATTTGTTTTCTATGATAACATTAAAAAGGTTGTTTGATTCTATAGAGTAAAATTCTTATTCTTCTGATCTTGCTTCTTAACTTTCAGGAAATATATTAGAGTCAACTTAAATCATTTTTGGGATCCATAAAGTGAAAGAAGGTCAAGCACATTGTGGACATTGTATGTTATACGAATTCAAAAAAAGGGTTAATCAACTTTAGACATGAATAGGAATATTTGTATTCTACTAGGAAGTAGTCTGTGTTTCGTCATATTATCATATTTTCATATCTTTACAGCATTTAGTGGACAGAAAAAGGAATCTTGAAATCTAAAGAATATTCTGTTCCAGGCATTAATAATAATGCATTAAATGACCCATAGGAAGTTGATATGCCGTTAAAGTAAAATACAAATCTATCGCTGTACTGTATTAATATTAATATTTAACAGCCCCCCGCCACAAGGGATGTATGAGGCACAAGGCCGAGTTTACCGTGGGTTCTCCGAGCCCGTGGGATCGGCCAAAAATATTTCTTTTAGAACCCGCAAAAACGGGTTCAGGGTTTGTCTACCATCCCGGACGAAACTTGCCCTTCGGCAAAGCCTCGACCGGGTTCCTTTCTGCTCAAGGCAGAAAGTTCCACAGTTGAACAGTTTGGAATTTTAATGCGGGAACCTGTACTAGAATTATCAATGTTTATTTATTAAATACATTGTCACTCTATTAGTTTTCGTGTAAAAATTAGCAATTAGACTATTCGCAAGATATGAATCTTGAAATACATTGTCGAGAAATCGGAGTCTCTAAGTAAAAATTAAAACAAAACATGTTTGTTTCGATTTTGGTACTTTATTTTATTTTGCTCGCTTTTGTAAAGAATTCCAATCCTTTTATTTGTTTAAAAAATATATTCAGCATTTTTTGTTTTAGTTGCTTAGTTTCAAGCTTATACAAACGACAAAATAATAACACTTGTAACTTACCGTCATTGTCTTCGTAAAGTACTGCAAATTTTCTCCAGCCCCAATATCTGATGAGATCCAAGTAAGCTCGGCTCATTGTCTGATAGTGAGGGTAGATATTGATGGCGAAAAAGCTTCTCTCATTTACATCCCTAGAATCCCATTCCGTATGCAAGTTCGGAATTTGTAAAGAACCGCATATCGACTGCACATGCGCAGCCGATACGGTCGAGATGGGACCAAAAATGGCAGCGACTCCTTTTTTTACTTGTTGACACACTGAAAAAAAGAAAAAGAAGAAGAGATGACAGAAAAATTAAAAATTGGAAGATAATTAGAGCAAAACTGATAAAAAAACCCTACAATCCTGAGTGCCTACCGTAGATTAATAGAGGCGACACGCTGTTTCATGCTAGACATTGCGTTAGGCATGAAACAGTCTGTCGCCTCCACGTGTTGACTTCAATGTTCACTTTTATATTTACACACGCTCTATCTCTGATATTGAGCACTTTTATCCCATAAATATACCAAAAATTAAGAGTATATTTCTTCATATATATATATATATATATATATATATATATATATAGCGAGAGAGAGAGAGAGAGAGAGAGAGAAACACAGAGAGAGAGAGAGAGAGAGAAGGCAAAAGAAAAAATTAATTAAACTTGGGACTGACTTCATGTGCAGATTCATCTCATATAATGCTCATATAAATATATATTTATTTATTTGTGTGTGTGAGTCAGAGAGAGAGAGAGAGAGAGAGAGAGAGAGAGAGAGAGAGTGTGTGTGTATGTGTGTGTGTGTGTGTGTGTGTACGTATGTATGGATATTAGCCGAATATTGTTTAGCGCAGAGCGGGGATTTGGTATCTAGAAACGGTAGCTATTTAATTATCTGCTTGTATAGACACGTTCTATCTTTTGGTATTGGAACTTAATACTGTTAAATAAATACACGTCTATTCAAATATGATTATCCACTAAAAATACAAGTTTAGTGATTAAATCTGTCGGATTAATAAATAAAATATCAATTACTTTATAAATCACACACACATATATAGTCATCCACAGGCAGACTGCACCACAGCCCATTAGTGTGACTAGACATCCGAATGCCTCAAGCCGTGACCTAAACCCCGCTAATTTGTTATCAGTCTGGGATTTTACCACTATGCCATTAGCGCACAGCAGGGATGAAGGTAAATTTAGGCGTATTTTTTAGACAAATACGCCAGTGACCTGAGAACTTAATTCGTCTTAACGAAGAGTCCTGCGTCAGCAGCAGTAATAGTCACTGTTTACAAACTCACTTTTCTCCCCGAAGAGCTCAAACGAAGCAATTTTATCAGGATCATGTATATATATTGTCATCCATAGAGAGACTATTTTGCTGTTTCACAGCTCATCAGTGTGGCATCCTATTGTCTCAAGATTTGGTATCAGTCGGATATTTTTTAATATCATTTATAATATCATTTATTATACCTAAGCCATTTTTTACCATGAAGCTGAATGTAGACGTATTTATTTTTAGCCAAAACTAGTAAGAGTACAATCTAAAGTTTAAAGAAAAAAGTTTAAAATAAGCTAAAATCTTAAGATATAAAATAAACTGAGGCTCAATATTAAATTCGGCAGAGCCTAAATATAATATAATATAATCAATACAAAATCCGTTATTCAGAGTTTTATATAACAACAATTATGAGGCTGTACCATTGCTTGTATATATATATATATATATATATATATATATATATATATATATATATATATATATATATATATCTGAGTGTGTGTGTGTTTGGCCTGACGATTGTGTCTCGCATGAAACAGCCTGTCGCATCTAAGTGTTGACTTCAATGTTCACTTTTATATTTACAGACGCTCTATCTCTGATATTGATCACTTTATTGCATAAATATAGCACACCTTAAGAGTATATGTCTTCAGAGATAGATAGATAGATAGATAATAATAATGGTCAATATATATATATATATATATATATATATATATATATTTCCAAGAGGATAGAATCCAGGTACAACTCAGGACAGAGTAATAATATAATAAAAAAGCTCAAATCCTAATATTCCATGGTTATAATTTATTACATTGGAATCATATTCACGATTCAATTCATCAGATCTGCAAATTCAATAAGAAATCGGAAAATATAACCGATTTTGGATTCTTTTTTGAATTTGCAGATCTGATGAATTGGATCGTGATTACGATTCCAATGTAATAAATTATAACCATGGAATATTAGGGTTTGAGCATTATATATATATATATATATATATATATATATATATATATATATATATATATATATATATATATATATATATGTGTGTGTCAGGGGTGTACGTCTATATATCTATGCATACATATATGAAAAATTTTTCAGTGTTAACCTGTAGAAAAAGATAATATTTATAAATGTAAAAGACAATAGGAAAACTGTCATATTAAGAAAACGTTTCGTCCAATGTGGACTTTTCAAGGCAAAAACGAAATGAATTTTTATATATATATATATATATATATATATATATAAGTTGAAAATAATGTACTGTTATCGGTCCTGACCTGGCATTTCGACTTCAGGCAGTTCTCATCGTCGTGGCATGGCTTTCCTCTGTCTTTTCACCTAGGAGCCCTATATATATATATATATATATATATATATATATATATATATATATATATATATATATATATATATATAGTTGTGTTAGAGGTAGAGTAACGATTATCAGAGAAGTAAATGAAATCGGCGACGGTTATTTTTATGAGTATAAATCCATTTTAATCGAGCTATGGGTTAAATAACAGTGAAGACAAGGTTCTCTTACTTTGAGAGGCACCAAGTCTAGATGGGTTATTTGGCAATTTCGTTGTGCACTGCGGTCAATTTCTTTGTCTTCAATGTTTCCTAAATATGTGGTTACATCCGCCCAAGCTTTTACCAAAATAATTCAATCATCCGACTAGTTATTCTATCAGTAATGTTCTCAACTGAATTGTTGGCTCTACATACGTAGTAATAGACGGAGAGGCTACCATATATATATACCATATATATATATATATATATATATATATATATATATATATATATATATATATAACTTATCGATCCTCTTCAGTATCGAATAGTTTCCATTTATGAGTAATAACGTTATCTATATAAATATACAAACCAAGAGACGCTTTCAGCAATTTCTTTTGTCACATTGCCAGTCTTTGAAACACGTCAGCTTTTGACCAGAAGTTAGCGCCGAACGTTTTGTCTGTCCAAGAAGATAAGTAAATGAGATGGACGATAGTTTAAAGAAACGGGCGGGAAATTCACAGCCACCATGTTTGTGAAAGGTTTTCATTCATATATTAAGGTCAAGCTCTCTAATTTGGCGCGCATCACATTCAAAAGAGGGTAGACCGTTCATACAGCTTTGAAGATGGCGCATTTATTGGCATGAAGAATTTCAGTTTATCTGAATGGCTTGCCTTGCTAACTTTATAAGTGTAAACAAATTTAGAATCAAAGGCAGTTTATTGTTGTATGTGTTTTTCTACCAAATACGAAACTCTTTAATTCTGTCTATAGTGCTTTTCGCAGTATTAAAACAAGAATAGTTTGACTCGTTGAATGATTTCTTTCCTTCTTGCGTTCTTAAGTCAATTCAAATCTCTCTCTCTCTCTCTCCTCATCTATCTATCTATCTATCTATCTATCTATCTATCTCATTTTATTTAAATCTATCTATTTATCTATCTGCCACAGTCTATTCAGATCTATCTATCTATCTATCTATCTATCTATCTATCTATCTATCTATCTATCTATCTATCTCATTGTATTCAAATCTATCTATCTATATGACATTCTATTCAAATTTATAAATCTGTCTGCCTCAGTCTATTCAAATCTATCTATCTATCTATCTATCTATCTATCTATCTATCTATCTAACGCAGTTTATTCAAGTCTTTTTACGTGAATTTTTTGCAGATATCTATCTCTCTCTATATCGAGCTTTGAATGTGTATTGGCTTCTGGAACAATCAGTTGGTCTTTGACTACATCGTGTCAGATGGTGATTTTTTAAGCCTCCCTCTAACGGGATTGAAACAGACTACTCTGTATAAGTAAATCTGTGTATATTATAAAATCTTCGATACCTGCAAGGTAACTCTTACGCACAATAGTGCCTATGTATATTATTAAGTATGGGTGAAGAATAGATGGAATTTTCAATCAATCAACCTTTATCAGTCAAAGCGTCTTTGTCTATAAATATCGACTGAGATTTTATTTTGATGACACCAAATTACCACCGCTGTTTGTCTGTCTTAATCTGTTTATTACTTCGATTGTGTCTTAAAATGGATAAAACTTCAACCTTCGTGACATGCGAGACTATCTTTCGAATTGATTTCTATTATGAAATTGTGTTCTTCTTTTGGAGTAAGCATTAATTCAATTCCACCGATATGGTTGTAAATCAAATATTAACATACATAGATTCATTAGATACAAAATGTTGATGAACCTCATTTCAAGCAATTTACTTTTCGTAAAATGGGCTTCTTGACAATTTACCTAAAATAAGTCGTTCGGTTTTGTCTTTAATTTCGATAGGTCTGAAATACATACAGTAGTAAATTATAAACGTACACTCATACGTATATATGCATGAGTGCTGGATGTGGTTAAATAGGACCAAGGAATTTCAATCTAGTTGTGGCTCAGAGGCCATGATGTCTGGGCCTACACGGTTGGAGCCGCCATTTGCAATTTAGATAAAGCACATGCGTAATTCTGGTGCTTTTAAAACTATCGATAATTTGAATGCGTGGTGAAAAACTTGAATAAAAGGTGATAGACGAGCAGAGAGAAGGACCTACAGAACTTGAACAGTGTTATTTGCGGCTGTCAACTGCACTGGAAATGATGTATTTGGTAGGATTTAAGAAATCTTTTCCGCATCCCTTTTATAAATATTTATATGTATTATTATATATATATATATATATATATATATATATATATATATATATATATATATATATATATATATATATATATAAAAGAATTGGTGTATACAGAATAAATTCCAATAACCAATAAATACTATTCTTAAAATACAGAGTTGACCAAATATAATTTATTCAAAAATTATAACACAAATATGTTATAAAATCACTACAAAAATAGCCATTTTTTTCAACATTTCTGGTGTTTTATCAAGTGATGGTGTTGTGACTGTTTTTGTAGTGATTTTGTAACATATTTATGTAATAATTTTTGAATAAATTATATATATATATATTTGCTTTTTTTTTGTAGTGATTTTATAACATATTTGTGTTACAAATTTCGAATAAATTACATATATATATATAACTTATATATATATAATTTATATATGTATATATATATATGTATATAATATATTCGAAAATTCTAACAAATATATTATAAAATCACTATAAAAATAGCCATTTTGATTCAACACTTCTGGTGTGTTATCAAGTGATGGTGTTTTCTTGTGCCAAATATTCTGTACATCATTATGTCCAAAAAAGCTCAATTTTTCTTTTAACACTCCATGGTACTTGTTTCCCAAAGACATTTGGCAAATTGAAACCGAGCAACAATGTGAGATGATTTTTGAAGAGGGGTTCGTTGTGGCCGGTTTCCATACTACCCATTTCTGTTTAAACAACGTTGTATTGTGTGAGTACGTAGGCTGATACTCATCGTATCCAAACTTTTGGCAACGTCTTTCAAAAGAAATCTTCGGTTTATATTAACATCGAGACACAGTTTTCGTTCAATTCTCGGTGACATTTTGTGTTTTCTTCTACGCCCAGACAAATTCTCTGTCGCGCCAAATTGTTTAAACTTCTTTATAAAGGATTTTACCGCAGATCTAGGGATAGATAACCGGTTTGAAATAGAGGTGTAACTATTTCCCGACTTGTGGAAGTTAATAATTCTCTGCCTCAAGTCAACGCTAATCTCCTTTGTCTTCTCCATTGTGTTGTTAACGTAAGAATAACAATGGTGACAGTCTATGCGCCACGTAAACTTCTTTACTGGAATTATCACAAATATTCTACTGAATAAATAGTCTAGAAGGCTTCACCAATAAAATAATTATGTAAAGTACTTACACGAATTAATCTGAAACGATATTTTCTACTGTACGAATAATTTTGTCTTTTCTTTTGAATAATTCGCCAGTAAAATTTGTTGTATTTAACCCATTGTTCTGAAAATTGAGTTTTATATTTCTTTTTTGCTTATTAAGATATAAAAACAAACTATCATTATAAGGGCATTAGATTCCGAGAAATGGATAAAATACTCAAAATTGATAGTTATACGAATAATTTCGTCGTTGACTATATATATATATATATATATATATATATATATATATATATATATAACACTAATAATCTTATCAGTATGAGCAGCTATACTCGTCCGGCAAAACCATAGGTGTTTTAGCTTGTAAATGAACAAACCAATAACTAAGGGGGGGGGGAGTAAAAAACAGAAAGAAGTAAGAACATATACTTCCGGCGAAAATAATCATCTAGAATCTAAGTTCAGAGTCCAAAGAAAAAAAATCTCCGATACGAGTAAGTAAAATAACTAAACAAAGTTCTCAATACGCTAATTAGAGCAAACAAAGCAAAGTAAGCCTAAAGAACCAGACAAACCTACTAATTGTACTAAAAACCCATTTTCTTTTGGATTTACCCTTGGTTTACCTTTTTAAATTTCCACTTTTTTAGTTTCGAGTTCCCCTTTAGTAACATCTGAACTCATTTTACTGGGTGTTCCCCTTTTTGAGTCTACATTAGCAGTGCACGTTTTTTGTTTGTTTTGGATTTGTCGAAATTTCTTTTTAAGCTTTACCCTCTTTGACATTTTTACTGTTTGGATGCCACCTAAAAGGAGGAAACTTTTGAGACGGCGCACGGCAGCTGGCTCCGCTGCTCGAGCAGCGAGGGCGAGTGAAACCCCTGAACAGACTTCTTTGTGTCTTTCACGGATGGCCTCGAGCTCAGCTGCTCGCTTATCTACGGAAAGTGCTGTAGCGCGGACTGAAAGGTTAGCTTCAGCGGCTTCAACCAGTTCCGCACGCCGCGACAGGCTTTCAGTTGAAGAACGTTCACTTCAGAATTCACAGGACGCAGTCCGCGTGGGTAGGTTGAGGGCTTCACAGTCCCCAGCACAGAAAACACTTCGTCGTTTGAGGGATGCCATCGCCAAAGCTTGCTCCAGGGGTTTAGAAAGCCCTGAACAAACAACTTCACGTCATCTTAGGAATACTAGGGCTACAGCCGCCTCTAGAGCTTCGGAACAACCCCAAGAAACCGCTCATCGTCGCTTTAGAAATGCCCCATCCACCGCGTCTGCCAGAGCCTTAAAAGCCCTGCACAGACCACTGTTCGTCGCGTTAGAAATGCCCGCTATACTACATCTGCTAGAGCCCTAGAAAGCTCTGCACAAACCACTGTTCGTCGAGTTAGAAATGCCCGCTCTACTGCGTCTGCCAGGGCTGCAGAAAACTCTGAAGTATGCCGTCAACGGCTCGAAAACATTAGCAACTTCGAGCTTCTTTGAATGGCGTAACTTTGCCGTCTGCGTCATTTTGGTCAATTGCCGCATACAATTATGACTGCACTGTCAAATATTCCGCTAGGAGAGACGTACAAATAGGGGCCATGGATAAAGTTTGCACTATTTGCAACGCAAAAAAAGTGGGCTGATGAGCAACCTGGGCTTTGTTGCTCTGGGGGCAAAATCAAACTCCCTTCTTTAGACGAACCTCCCCAGCTGCTTAGGGACCTCCTTCTGTGTACAACTTCGGAGTCAACGCATTTTCTTGAAGCAATACGGAAGTACAACTGTTGCTTCCAGATGACGTCTTTTGGTGCGAAGGCTATTAGTGAGTGGGGATGGATGCCTATTTTCAAAGCGCAAGGCTAGGTTTACCACTTAATGGGATCACTTTTGGCTGATCAGGGAGGGCCACCTCAGTTCCTACAAATTTACTTTCTCGCTGACTACAACGAGCAGGTTGATGCGCGTCTCGGCATTCTGCCTAGCGATATTTCCATCGGTCCCCGTAGAGACATTCTGTTCTGTCTACAAGACATGCTTCACGAAACTAACAGTTACATCCGAAGCTTAAAGTTTGCTTTGCAAAACAACTCTTCGCCCTTTTTCAGCGTTGTCATCGATGCAGACAGACGGCCTCACGGTGAGCATGAGCGTCGCTTCAATGCTCCTGCATGTAATGAAATCGCCGCAGTCATCCATGGTCAGGAGTATAACAGCCGTGACATTGTCATAAGGTACCCGGGCAGTGGTCTGCGCCGCATCAATGAAACCCACCGTTCATACGACTGTCTCCCGTACCCCCTTCTTTTTCCATACGGAAGCGATGGGTACCTCATCAAAATCCCAATATACCAGGCAAGCAGCGATTCCATGTCGACCTCAAAGACGGTCTCCTGTAGGGCTTACTACGCCTACATGTTTATGGTTAGGGAGGGTGAATTTAACCACTTGCACAGGTGCTATCAACTATTTCTTCAATTCGCTGTTGACGTGGCTGCAAGAGTCCTCAACTCATACCGTTTAAATCCCCGGGCAACGCCGGGCTCTACTACCAGTGTATATATATATATAAAACCTACAGCAATAGTTTCCATCAAAAATTCATAAATCACACGCACACACACACATATCTCTCTCTCTCTCTATAAATATTGTATGATATATATTGTATGATATATATATATATATATATATATATATATATATATATATATATATATATATATATATATATATATATATGATAAAGTTAATTGATAATCCGTATTGAGGGAGCATATCAATCACGAGAGCTCAATATAATAAACACACCAACAAATAATTAATTAACAAATGGAGACTTCTGAAACTTATTTCGCAAGACCGATAAAATTCGATTTCACTATCAGACCTTGCGGTTTCAAAACAATGAATGGATTCAAGAATTCTTCCAGGAATCAACCAAAAAATGAACTGTAAAACAAGATTAGCGGAAGTTGTGTTTTAAGATAGTTACACAGAGTAGGAAGGTAAGGAGGGAGGTATATATCTCTAGGAGATGCTATGGTTGTAGCGTTGACCGCTTATTCTTTTGGCATATATCGTACCAGAATTATCGCATGACTTAACTCTGAAACGAGCCGAAAATTCCAATAAAGAGTAATCTGAATTTTTGACATTATTAAATTAGGTTTTCTATGAAACGAATAAGCATTCGTCATCCAGAAACGGGGCGGGCCAGACATCAAACGAAAAACAAATTCCCTTTTTTGGGTATACATTGGAAGGAGCAGACGATCAGCGTTTCTTTCTTTCTTTCTTTTTCCCACCTTTCCTTACATTTTTTTCTTTTTTTTTCTTCTTACTATGAAACTTGTATGAAAGTAGACGTTATTGTTACATTAGAATTATTTAAAAAAATTATACATTTTTAATATTTATTTATAAGACGATATTATCTCTGTCGCTAGAAATAAAAAAAAATCTTAGATAAAATTTGTACCTACAAATTTAGCTTCGAAAATCGATATAATCAGATCTATTACGAATATTTTCTTTTTTTTAATCATGTCACCCTATGTAAGGCAGTAAAGCCACTAAGACACAAGGGTTACTGAGTGTGAGAAGAAAGAGAAGCAACATTAATTAGCGAAAACAATAAGAATAAACAAGAAGGCAATAGATTACAATTTTATGATTGACGTTACATTTAAATTTTTGAAGATCAAAGTTAGTTGGAAAGAATGGAGCCGGAAATGAGTTGCACCATCGAGAAAAGAACCTTTTAGCATAGAACTTGTGGCTACATCTAGCCAATTCAACTGTGCATTGATGAGACCTCACCGCCAATCTAGTACTTAATTCATAAAGTCTAGGTACATAGCGAAGAGTTCATCCAAATAGTTACAATGAAAGTACTTATAGAAAAGGTACAATGAAGCCACATTACGGCGGTGGGACAGTGATTGAGGCCGATACGCCAAGTGAGGACCAATAATATTGCTGATTATTCTTTGGATCTTTAATTATATATCAGGAGCATCGGATCATATGTAGCAGCACAACACAAAGACACTGACAATCAGACAAAAAAAATTAACATACGTAAATCTTTTTTTCTTAAGACTTCAAAGGTTATATTTTTTATTTATTCACATGTTATTTTTTAAGGATACTCTTAGAAACCCCGTTTTTTTACGTCTACAGGCCATCGCACTTAAGAAATCTTAATAAAGAAAATGTGTTTTTGGGGTAGAATTCGTGCTTACGCACTCTATTGTAGGAAGAACAAACGTCTGATCCGCGTATTTACGGCCGTTCAGTCCCGGAGAGCATCACAGTCCTGCAATCTACTTTTTTTTACCCTTTTAAGGAATGCACATCTCATTAATCAAATCTTCTCCATAACCCGTATCTGCTCGATTTTGTATTCAAAACCTAAACAAAGTAATTCATAAAGACTTAATGGAATTTTAATTTTAATCCGACATTACTTACTATATCAAACGTTATTTTGAGCAGACGACACTTTTGTTTTATACATCTACCTTTCGAGAATGTGTGAATGTGGAGATGTCCATTCTTTAAAAAAGTAAAAAGAAACTTGCTAAAATGTGTCGCTCTCCGTGTCCGAGTTGTCTAAAGTACGCTTGTTCAGACGTCGCTTTCTCTGAAAAAGGGAGAAGCATGTTCGAAACCTACCGGAGAGTACATTCTCTTTATTCCGTTTTCTCGAGTGTGAAAAAAAGGGCGTCTACTCAACCACGAGTATCCACTAAAAAAATAACGCATATATATATATATATATATATATATATATATATATATATATTAAAAATTAAAAAAAATTATAACATAAATATGTTATAAAATCACTACAAAAATAGCCGCACTCTTTTAAGAATAGTATTTTTTGGTTATTGGAATTTATTCCGTATACACCAACCCTATAGTTGTATATATATATATATATATATATATATATATATATATATATAGTCGACTCTCCCGTCGAGATTCGACGTATGAGGGTCAACCAGGAAACCGACAGCCCGACACCGGCACATGAGATTTGCTTATAGTGGTGAAGGCTTCTTGCAGGACCATTCACACTTTTTGAAGGGACGAATACAGAGACCTGGTGCACCGAATGCCACGAGGTTCCCAAACGACTTTCCGCAGGTTTTGAATTCAGAGTTGTCCTTCTTCTAGACCAGTTGCCATCCAATGCTATAGAACCCAGTCTGTCCTGCTATTTTACCCATAGCTGGAGGGAGAGGAAGAGGATTCATACCTTTCCCAAGGGTATTAGCACGTAAGTGAATGTAATGTATTCGACTGGAATTCGAACTCGGCTCTGCGATTCCTCAATCCAAGCCGCTATCCATTACTCCACCGTGCCCCCCCCTCTCTCTCTCTCTTATATATATAACTGTGTATTGAAGTTAACATGCAGCGGCGACTATTTGTTTCTTGCTTAAACGAAATGTTCAGGTTGTATTTTGGCTCGAATTTTTATATATGCTGGTCAGTGTTGCATTATGGGTAGAACGTCTCTTGTGTTATATATATATATATATATATATATATATTGTGAGAGAGGGAGAAAGAGAGAGAGAGAGAGAGAGAGATTACCATACATCTATGTCTTCTTAGCTATATGTGAAATCGAAGGTATTTTCACAGCTTGTTTGGAAACTAATGTATAACGATAACTTTGAATTCAAACCAGGAGCATAACTTCTTGATGCATTTGGAAGATGACGTCAACTTCCTTCTGATAGCTCCCTTAGCCAAATTGATGCGAGTTAACGAAATATATGGCTGATGATTCTCTGGGGAAATATCGATAGACCCAACCAGCTGGAAGAAGAAAAAAATTAAAAAAAAAGAATCTTCCCATGACACATCGCCTTACAAGTGAGTAAGAAAAAAAAAACCCGCAAAAACATGGAAGAATGCAAAAAGATTTCATAAAATGGCCTCAAAACCTTTGTGCAGTTTTCGATAATTTTATTCAAACATATGACATCTAATAATGTTGAAAGACATTCTTAAAGATGCTATGTATTCTAAGTGAAGCGGATGTTTCACCATGATGTAAAAGCATGCTAAAGAGCATCTCATATCATTTTCGGATCAATACTTACTGAACGTACGACATTTGTGGACTTGAGCTAATACTTAAAATTAAAGCCAGGCTACTTTCTTTTCATTAAACTAAAAAGTGGGCAAGTGTTATAGTGAAACACAGCTATTATGAAGTTAATAGACTCTCCCACCTAATATAAATAGGAGTAGTAAGAGTAACAGGTCAGTCTGTCGCTTTCTCGATTGACTGTTCGGTTCAACTCTCTGTCTACGGACGTAGAGGAACCCGAAGGTGGCTACGCCGAAGGGCGGAGTCTCCTTCGGAGAGGTAAAACCGGCCCTGAACCCGTTTATACGGGTTCAAACGGGCATATTTTTGGCCCGAGCCCACGGGCTCGGGAAACCCACAATAAATAACCGACCTTGTGTCACATGTTGCCCCAGTGGGGTGGGGAGACAGAATATTGTCAGTCGCTTTCTCGACTGACTGTTCGGTTCAACTCTCTGTCTACGGACGGAGAGCAACTCGAAGGAGGCTACGCCGAAGGGCGGAGTCTCCTTCGGGGAGGTAAAACCAGCCCTGAACCCGTTTATACGGGTTCAAACGAACATATTTTGGCCCGAGCCCACGGGCTCGGGAAACCCACAATAAATAACCGACCTTGTGTCACATGTTGTCCCAGTGGGGGGGGGGGAGACTAAATACTGTTCGGTTCAACTCTCTGCCTTCGGGCGGCGAGGAACCCGAACGATGCTACGCCGAGGGGCGGAGTCTCGTTCGGGGAGGTAAATCGGCCCTGAGCCCGTTTATACGGGTTCAATGGGCATATTTTGGGGCGGAGCGCACGGGCTCGAAGAACCCACAATAATTGACCGACCTTGTGTCAGATGCTACCCCAGTTGTGTGGGGGGGTGACTGAATATCGTCAGTCGATGTCGGTCGACCGGCTGTTCGGTTGAACTCTATGCCTTCGGGCGGGGAGGAACCCGAACGAGGCTACGCCGAAGGGCGGAGTCTCTTTCGGGGAGGTAAACCGACCCTGAACCCGTGTATACGGGTTCAAAGGGTATATTTTTAGCTGAGCCCACGGGCTCGGAGATCCCACGTTAAACCGGCCTTGTACCATATGATGCCCTCGTGGGGGGGGTGACTAAATATAGTCAGTGAGTCGATGTCGGACGACCGTTAGTCGAATACGAAAATATCAGCGACCACAACTAGATTTACTCTGCGTAATATTTATTGTATCAAGTTCCTAACGTTTTGTACGTCGAACCTATTTTAGGACCGACTTAGTACAAATACAATCCTCCACAGCGAAATAACTCCACAAGAGCAAGTTATAAATATTCTTTTGTTACCTCTTTCTCTCCCTATTTTCTCACACACATACACACATTCATTTTTTTCATTTCTATCTATCTATCTATCTATCTATCTATCTATCTATCTATCTATCTATCTATTAGCTAGCTTCCTCTGTTTACAGCTAGCTAGCTTAGTTTGTTTATATCTATCTATCTATCTATCTATCTATCTAATTCTTTTCATACATGTTGCATTTTTTTCCGTCTATATATCGACACATTTTGCATACAGACATATAGGCACATATGTAAATAACTTTATACATTTTAAGTACTTGATAAAGGAAAACACGAAGCCTATATTTTCGTCAAATTTCACCAACAGCTTCATTAATACGAGGAAAAGAATTTTATTCAAAAACAGACCTTTTTAAAAAATTGTATGTAAGATGGCAGTTATGATGAACACGGGGATTTTCTGGAATAAAATAAAATGAAATCAAATTACCAATGTTTTCTGATTTTTAAGCCATGTTTCTTCTTGCCGATTTGATTGTTAATGCTTTCTACTTTTTGGTAAACTCTAACTCTTTTGCTTATCTATCTATCTATCTATCTATCTATCTATCTATCTATCTATCTATCTATGTAAGGATATTCATTATCTATCTATCTATCTATCTATCTATCTATCTATCTATCTATCTATGTAAGGATATCTATCTATCTATCTATCTATCTATCTATGTAAGGATATCTATCTATCTATCTATGTAAGGATATTCATTATCTATCTATTTATCTATCTATCTATCTATGTAAGGATATTTATTATCTATCTATCTATATCTATGTAAGGATATTCATTATCTATCTATCCATCTATCTATCTATCTATCTATCTATCTATCTATCTATCTATCTATGTAAAGATATCTTTCTCTCTCTCTCTCTCTCTCTCTATCTATCTATCTATGTAAGGATATTCATTATCTATCTATCTATCTATCTATCTATCTATCTATCTATCTCTATGTAAGGATATTCATTATCTAACTATCTATCTATCTATCTATGTAAAGATCTCTCTCTCTTTCTCTCTCTCTATCTATCTATCTATCTATCTATGTAAGGATAGTCATTATCTATCTAACTATCTATCTATCTATCTATCTATGTAAAGATATCTCTCTCTCTCTCTCACTCTCTCTTTCTCTCTCTCTCTCTCTATCTATCTATCTATCTATCTAGCTATGTAAGGATATTCATTATCTATCTATCTATCTATCTATCTATCTATGTAAGGATATTCATTATCTAACTATCTATCTATCTATCTATGTAAAGATATCTCTCTCTCTCACTCTCTCTTTCTCTCTCTCTCTCTATCTATCTATCTATCTATCTATCTATCTATCTATCTATCTATCTATCTATCATTGTACCGCTCCTGTAAGTATCTTTTACTCCCCGCTATACTCTATCGTTACAAAAGACAGATCAGACCGAAAATAGAATATTGCTGCCATATCTTGGCTAGAGCTCCCTAGTCCTTACTTGCAACTCTCTCGTTAATCTATCGTTATTTCCATGGAATATGTTCTGACGAGTTACATTCCTTGATTCTACCCGCTCTGACCTTTGCAATTGAAACGCGTCCTGCCACGTACACATTGCTGAATCATCATCATCCCCTTCGTATTCCATTAGTAAGATTATGTTCCACCCGGACAGCTTCTTCTCAAGAACTACGCCTTTGTGGAACAGACAGCCAGTAGGATGTTTTCCAAATCTTGACCTCTTCAAGTCTAGGGTTAACGGTTGTCTTTCCTACACAACCCAATGGACGGCATTTCTTGCCTTTCCTTACGCTCATACAGCACCACACAATATCACTCTACCGTGAGTGACTCTTGGGCCTCATATTTGTGAACATTATTATAAAAATCTATCTATCTATCTATCTATCTATCTATCTATCTATCTATCTATCTATCTATTCGTTATCCTTTATGTAAATCATTCATATTAGCTACACACTTCAAACAATAGACAGTATTCTCTGTCTCGGGCATCACCGATGTTAGCCATAATGGTTTTGTAGATAACGGAGTGGAAGTTTCCATAATCAGCGTTGAGCCGGTTGAAGCTCAGATGAGACTTTAGTGAATTTTCCCTTCTGTCAGCCAATACCGTTGTAATCCACTTAATGTCAGTCCCTGGCTATATTTACAGATCTACGCAATGTCAAGTCTCTAACTGGAATTACAAAGTCACATTCAAATCTCGTCAATTTCTCAGCAACATCTCAATCGGGACTTTTCTCTCCTGTACCATTTGTCAAATACTAAAATGGAAATACGACGTGTCGATCAAATATATTTCCATCATACTATTTTTTTTTAAATCATTGCTAGATAGGAAAATAATTGTGTTGAAAAATATTGGTTTAAAAAAAAAGATATGTTCTTGGATTTTTAATAAGTTCAACTCATTAAAAATGGGTAGTATTTTAATTATTAATTTCTTACTTTTGGTTATTCATCTTAATTTCTTTGCTTTCACACTGAAGGTTTCAAATCTTCATTCTACGATCTTTAGTCAGTAAAACGAATCGGAAGAAAGAAATAGTTTCTATAGAAACTCAAGCTTGAATCGCTTATCCTTAGAAGCCCGACTTCCCAAGGCCAGTTCGTATAATCACCCAGTTCTATCCATATCGCTGTATTAATTATTGTGGCGTTTCTATGTTATTGCCTTTGAGCAGTGGTACCAAAACGGTTAGGTGCGTCTTATTGATGCGGCGGAAGAGGATAGCAGGTGAGGCGGAATGATTGAAAGACAATCAATGATTTAGAAACATTTTAAAAAAATTCGTATTCCAAAAATAAATATTATTTCAAAATTTAAAATATTATTATGGATTACTTGTAATTGTATGCAGGAGTCCCAGTATAAATATTTGTAAATAATTATTGACCGATTTTATCATTGTGATATTTTTGCATTATATCAAGTATTAAGAATATAGTAACTGGGGTCTGCAAATTGGAGGAGAGAGTTATCAATGATAATGTCCTGACTTAGAATCCGCGGTTATCTCCCTTTAACCCCTCTCCTCCACCTCCCTCCCTCCCTCCCTCTCCCCTCTCCTCCCTCCCTCTCTCTCTTTCTCTCTCTCTGTTATTTATTTTTAAATGTACTTTTTTATCAACTAAAATTTGCGGTCCAGAGAAAAAAAAAAAGTTTTGGAAAAGAGGTTTGGGGACCAAAATTCTGATGTGCTTCGAAACGAATATTTTTGTAGCTTTCGGTGGTATCAAACAGCATCGAGTTGTGAGGAGGTAACTTTTTTGTGTTACAAGAACAGTAAAAAAAAATGAGCTGGAGGCTCCTTTGTAAAACCAATCATATAAAACATTTTATATATCCACTGGAACAACAAGGCAAACATGATTTAGAAAAAATATCTCGTTTATTCTTTGCGTTGACCGAGAGAGGAAAAGTTTTTTTTTTCTGTAAAGATCATAAAATATTGGTTAGAAGATACCTAAATTTAGTTTATTGGAAAGTCGGTGTAGCTATGTCCTTTTTGCGTCTGTTGTATGAAATCTATGAGTTGGTTTGTCTACATAAATACGGTTCTTCTTTACTTTACAGCATTCAGTTTTAAGTTACTTCCCATCAGATCAAATATCATGACGAAAGTTTTCAGCATTATCGTTCCATTCAACGCCTTTGACCCTTATTCGCCGACCGATTCGGATGAGTTGGCATTCATGATCTAATTTTCAGTAACCAAACATCACTGTATCAAACATAACTTTTCCAGGTCATTTAAAAACGATTGACCTAGGGATTCTGTAACCAGCTCCAATTTGTGTCGAATAAAGAAACGAACAAAACAGATAAAACCAAATGATGAGAACCTGTATTTTTCAATGTTATAAAACTGATTTGTTTTTACCTCTTCTCATCGCTTTTATAAATACATTTTGTATATAATAAATGATAAATACATTTTGTATATAATAACTAGCAAGGAACTGTACAATTTGCGGATGTAGATGACATGTCGAAACATTAATAGAAATGATGCTATTATCCCTGGATGTTGGGCACGTGACCGAATGGTTAGAACATACGCATTCTAAATGTCCTGGGTATGACGATAAACTACATCCACGATCTGGGTAAGACGATAAACTACCTCCAACAGCAAGGGCTCTGATCAGGAGGTTTTTGAGGAGCGTGGAAACACCTCTTAATTGTTGGTGTTCTCAGGTCCACCCTGACCCGGCGTGGTAGCACCTGTTAGGGTCACAGCTATGGGCAAATAGTTAACACCCAAACCTGTGTAAAAATAGGTTTTAATACCAGAAATACTTTGTAATAAAAAAAAACATTACTAGCAATAATTTTTGAAGGAAAAATTATTATCAGCAATACTTAAAAAAAAAAAATACACCAGTAATACAAACAGTTATACATTCTTTGAGAAAAAAATGGAGAATGGAACTCAGAATACAAAATAGTGCAAACAAAATATTACCAGGTGAGTAATTTAAAAAATTAAAAAACAACTATTTATGAAAATAAAGCCATCCAAGATTGTAAATTTCCTAAAAGAAGTTGAATTGTACCTAAAAATATGAGTAATTGAAAAATGGTTCAAATATATATGTATATATACACACTTTTTTTTTTACCAAACTATCACTATGAATCTACTTCAAAAAATATGTTGGCATTAAATGACCCACTGAGGTTTTGATATGCCATAAAACAAAAGAACCAAACAACCAAATACGCATTCTGAATCTCACCTTGTTCGAGTTGTCAGGAAGAAGGCTTCCTGATGTTATCGAACTGGATGGGTGGATTCCAGCGTGCGACACCTTTGGAAAGTGGTTGAAAACCGTAGCACGAGTTGACAAAAGACTTGTGAGTCAAATTGGGTAGACGGAACCCTTGGGGACAGTCGATAGCTGGGTTAGCACTAAGTCACAAGTCATCGTGGCCGAGGATTTGAACGTGCTGGTGTTGTTCAGATTGTTGATCACGCTAGATAACACGCTCTCTCTCAGAAACTGTAACTAAGGTCTGCTTAGCATGGTTGCAGTATAAACCACAGGTGGTCTCTGTCGGTGTTGAATGCGCCTGAGCAAGCGTCTGCAACAGGGATTGGCAAGCCGACCTAGTAAGCGAGTATCTTTGAATACGTGTGGCCAGCTATACATACATACATACATACATACATACATACATACATGCACACATACATATATCTCTGGATTTTTAATGTGAATATTTTATGGAGCGGGTGTTATTGCAAGGTATCGCCATTTTCCTAAACACTAATACGCCATTTTCCTAAACACTAATACGCCATTTCCCTAAACACTAATACGCCATTTTCCTAAACACTAATACATTTCGTGAAGAAGACCGGTGTTCAAAAGTAAGCCGAGAAATCCCAGATTACATAAGAATAAATGCTTTCAGTTTGTTGCATTTCACCCCTCCTCACGTGACGACAATAATGTTCCCAATGCTGAAGGGACTGAATATCAAGGGCTTTATCGCATTGTTGTATTTCGATTCCTTATTCATTTTTAAGGATTATTATGTTTTAGAGCATTTCAATCAATTTATATGTGACAAGAAAATCCGAAATTAAAATGATTTTTAAATAAAGAACTTTCAGGAAGGGAAATGGCTTCGTTGTAGATCAAGTTATATATATATATATATATATATATATATATATATATATATATATATATATATATATATGTGTGTGTGTGTGTGTGTGTGTGTGTGTTTTGAATTTATGGGTTTGTTGTAGATCAAGTTAAATATATTCGTTTCGTTTTAGATCAAATTACAAACATATATATATATATATATATATATATATATATATATATATATATGTGTGTGTGTGTGTGTGTGTGTGTGTATGTGTTTTGAGTTTCTAGGTCTGATGAGTTGGATCGTGATTACGATTCCAATGTAATATATTATAACCATGGAATATTTGCGTTTTGAGCCTTATATATATATATATATATATATATATATATATATATATATATATATATATATATATATATATATAATTATTTATTCTAAAATTATAACATAAATATGTTATAAAATCACTAAAAAATAGCCATTTTTTTCAACAATTGTAGTGTCTTATCAAGTGATGGTGTTGAATGTAGAATAAAGGTTTTTAAAAGGTTCAAATCAATCAAACACCCCTCGTTAGGGGGAAACGCTGTTACACAAGCTACATACGCACACTTCTAAGAATAGTATTTGTTGGTTATTGGAATTTATTCCGTATACACCAATCGTATACTTGGATATATATATATATATATATATATATATATATATATATATATATATATGGGGAAAATGGATAACATTTATTTTGAAATGTGTTATTGATAACACATTTAAAAAAAACATATTTCGATTCGCATTATATTTTTTCGTCTCGGATGCTACCTGAATTTTACCAAAAACAAAATAATTTATCACCCTTTCTTTCTTTTCTCTCCTCTACACACACGCACGCACACACACACACACACACACACACACACACACACACATATATATATATATATATATATATATATAAATATATACATAAATGGTGGAACTCGTTTAGAAAAACCACGGATAGCTCATCTTGCAGTAGAACAAATCCGTACCCAAGGAAAAATGGGGGAAAAATGAAAGAACGAAGAACATTAAACCAAGGCGAAAATAATCATCCAGTGTTCAAGCTCGAAGCCCCCCCACCACCAAAAAAAAAACCAACGAGTAAAAAGACAACTGCATAAAGTGCTGAATACACTAAGTAGAGCAAAACCTAAGATAATCATATGGAGCCGGGAAAAGCTACCTATGTTTCGCCTAAATGGATCTTCAGTGAAATGCCGGCTCGCTGAAGATCCGTTTAGATGAAACCTAAGCAGATTTGCCTGGCTCCTTAGGGATTATATATATATATAT